CAGGGAGGGGTAGAGAGGGTGGGGCGGTGGTCAGAGGGGAGAAGAGGGGGAAATGGGGAGGGGAGAGGGGAGGAGAGGACAGGGAGAGAGAGAAAGGGGAAGGTAGAAAGAAGGGGCAAGGAAGGGGGAGTCAGTGGGAGTGAGACGGGGAAAGAGGCTGGGGGAGAGAGAGGCAGAGGCTGGGGGAGAGAGAGGCAGAGGCTGGGAGTGGACAGAGAAAGAAAGGACACACACACAGAGAGAAGGTGGGAGAGAAAAGAGGAGGAGAGAGTAGGTAGCGGCAGAGTGAAAGATGGAAAGAGAGCGAGCTTCTCTGGCCAGAGGGAAGGAGCGATGGGATGGGGGTGGGAGAGAGAAAGGAGACGAGAGAGAAGGAAAGAGAGTGGGAAGAGGGAGAGAGAGACCGAGAGAGAAGGGGGGGGGGGTGAAAGAGGAGAGAGATGGGAGAAAGGAGGGTGGGGAGAGAAGGAGAGGGTAAGAGGAGAGATGGGGGAAGGGGGAGAATACAGACACCCAAAATTCAAGGGCAGAAACAAGTAAGAGGGGGATCCAGGCCAACGCAAAAAGTGCGCCCCTTCTGGCCTCCACCCCTGGAGCTATGGAGGAGGGGTTGAGGTCGCCGGGCCTTTCCGGTCAGTTTTTACCCGGGTGTGTTGGTTCCTTTTCTCCTCACAGGGGGAAGCAGACCCCTCCTGCTCCCCAAGTTCAGTGTCACTCCGGCTGGTTCAGTGCCATCCCGCTCTTCCTGGCGTGATTCTCTGGTTAAGACTTTCCCACATTCTATGGCTGCGCCATGGCCAGCTTTTGCCAACACCATCTTCCCGGCTGTCCGGCCCGGGGCCTTCCTGCCCCCTCCCCGACCCCGGCCTGGACGCTCCCACCGAAGCAGAAACAAACAGCCTTGAGGGCACTTCACGGAGCGCGCGGTGCCAGACCGCAAGCTCAAGGAATAAAGGCGGCGGCCAGCCACCCCGCGGCCCCCGCCGAATAATGGGCGCCGGCAGCTTGCCGGTGTACTCGACCCTCGAGGGGGAATCCTGGAGCAGCGGGCTCCCGCGCCGGCGCGGCCTCGCCTTGTTCCCTCTCTTTCATACACTCTCCTTTTGTGTGGAATTATTTTGACGGGAGATCCTTGGCAGCTTTATGCTAATGTGCCGGACAAAGGCTACGGCCCGCGGGCGGGGGCCCCCGGAAGGTGCCTGGAGGCCCGGCCGGGGCGGCGGGCAGGCTGCGCGTGTCTCTCGCGTGCCCCTCAGACTGACACACGACCCCTCATTCCTGCAAACACAAAGCCTCACCCGGGCTCGGGTCCGCGCGCACTGCGCTCTGGGTCGGAGCCCTCGGGGACCTCGGAGCCGGCCTGCTGGCTGCTGGCGCTACACGCGGAAACGCGGGGTTCAGGCCGGGCCTTGGCTCGTGGGGACCGAGAGCCGGGGGTGGAGACTTCTGCGAAGCCGGGAGAGGGGTCCGCTGCAGGGTGGGGATGGGGATGGTGGGCGCTGGCGACTCCCGCCTGCGACCCCAAACGCGCAACCTGCCAAGGGAAGAGATTGCAGACCGGCCCATCTTCGTCTCTAGCGAGCTTAGGGGCCGCGTGGACTCCCCGACACCCCACGGGGCCAACTTCTTGGCCGAAATTCCCCGCTTTGACCCTTATTTCCAAGCTTCGCGCCTTCCAGAAACTCCCTGGAGCCTTGAATTCTTGAGTCGCTACCAAGCAGGGGGTCACAGCGGACCCCCGGCGCGCGCCCTAACGGCAACCCTGGACACCAGGCCAGCTCCGAAGCGGTCGAAAGAAGAACCCAAAGCGAGAACTTCAAGGACAAGAAATGAAAGGATCCCCAGATTTTTCCAAAACGCTGGCCATGCCCGCAAACGGGAGGGAAGGAGCCGCCTTTGGCCGTGGAAGCACCCCTCGGTGCCCCGCCTCGGATCCCTCAGCTCACCGACTCCCCTTGCCAGCTCCAAGCCCTCATGGAGGGGAGCAAGTCAGCACTCTTTGCTCCCACAACCCAACTCCATACGACCCCTTCCTGACATCGCAGTGCGCCTTTGCTCTTCCCAGAGGAAGACAAATATCTCAACTCGATGTCCCCACCCCTTGTGACTCGCAGATTCTGAGAAATAAAATCATGCCGAAGGCGGCAGAGACCCACGACCCAGTCGGTACACACGTGCACCTGATTGGAGGTTGCGGGTGTGCGCTCGCGCGCAGCTTAGTTTTCCCCTAGCCCCGTGTTATGAAATTAGTTTCGAATACTTGTACCTTTCAAGTTTCCATTTATTTTAACCGTACCCGTCTGAAGGCAGATTTCATTTCACCTGGCAAGACTAGAAACCACAAATAAAGAAAAAGAAACGGATCCATTGAATCTCAGTATCTCAATAGCGTTCAATAGATTCCCTTGGCTTAATTCAGACCGCTGTTTGAATTCGGTGCATTCAGGCAAGGGTTTTGTTTTTTTTGTTTTTTCGTCCTCCCCCTTTTTTTTTTTTTTTTTTACTATTATGGGTGTTGTTATTAGTACAGGATTTACTAGCTGCAGCACTCTCCCTGTTATCTGTTGAATGAAAGAAGTGTTACATATGCAAGACCAAATACCCCGCGGTCAGTTGGGGATGGCGGGCCGATTCCCCGCCCTATTATTCCACAACCCAGATGGGATTCGTGATTAGAAAATAAAATCGGCCAAAGCTGTCCCGGAATCTCTTTCCCACTTCTAATTTCATCAGCAGTATTAATCAGCGCTCAAAAGAGCAAGAAAATAACATCAGTTACTTTTAGATGGAGACATATTTACGCATTTTAGATAAATTCGTTTTAGGATTTCTAACTTTAAAAAAATAAAAAACAGCATTCATTGCAGTTAACCTTTTTAAAACGAGAGTAAGACTTTAAAAATATATTCCATTATCTTTTACTTTTCAGTCTGTGGGTTAAAAAAAATCACAAATAAAATCAGCAAGTATCCTTCCCCTTGATTAACCAGAGAAATTTCCTAACAACTGTCCCCATCACAAGTTATTACTCATGTGGACGCTGTAAAAAAAAAAAAAAATCTAGTTAATTTCCACGCCAGGGTATTTTCAGTGGGAAAATCCAAAACAATTAAATACGTTCAGGGGAATTAAGCGCAAGTAAGACTCTTTCAGCAAAAATCTATCCGCGTGCACAGTTTTGCAGAAAAAGTCTGTTTCCTTCCCTTTCAATAAAGTGACATTTTTCTACAACATATGACACTGTATGTGGCTTTGCTGTTTTTTTCCCCAGTGATGTGCACTCGTGGGGTTCTGCCCCCGCCCCCGGAGATTCTGCCTTGTGTGTTTCCTCGAGCTGTGTTGGAAAGTGGATGGAGGCAGAGGGCCGGGTCTGAGTCCAAGCCGGGCGGCGGCGGGGGGTGGGTGGGTCTTCCCCGTTGTCTTTTCCTGGTGGCACGGGGGGAGGTGGCTTGTCCTCTTGGAGGCCGCAGCCTGCCTGGGAGGACAGATTGCCCCCCTCCCCCCAGCCAGCAGCACGCGTCTCTTTTGCGTCCAGATTGGCCGCGGCCGGCGCTCAATAGCAAGAGGTTAATTTCCTTCACAAAGGTGAAGGGGCACGGTTCCGGGGGGGCCCCAGCGCCCAGACAGGCGGCCCCTTTATTCCGCAGCGCCATGATTGGAGCCCTTGATTTAGCATCTGATGTCAACCGGCAGACAAAATACCCGCTCCGAATGAAAATGTATGAGGCCGCGCGGGAAGGGCGGAAACCAACTTCACCGGGGCGCACGCGGCTGATCGTGCGTTACGGGCTTCGGCCAAATCCACCCGGATCGGCCCAGTCCTGGGCGGCGCGGGGGCTCCGAGCGGCGTCGGTAGGGGCTCTCCAAGGATGCCGGTGCCCGAGCACCGGGGAACTTAAAAAAGAAAAGTTCAGAAATTCAAGTTCCTTTTGGAATCCAGCCCAGCCTGCCCCCGATTCCCCACGTCTGCGGGCGACTGAAGAAGTGCGATGCCAACTGTTTCCCAAACTCGAAAGAAATCGTTCTGGGACCCGCGGATGCGCTGAGGCTGTGGGCACTAACATTATGCTTCTGTTGCAGTCAGAAAGGCCAAGTCCTCCCACCAAACTCGGAACTCCGGGCTCCATTTTCATTTAAACCTGGGTACCGCGGCCCATCCGTCCGGGGCGCAGGCTGGGGGCTCTTGGCTGCCGCGGTTTTGCAGCTATTTTCGATTCTTAATTATTTCTGAAACTCTACACAGAGCTCGGGAGCAGCCCCCAGGCCCGGTCGTCGCCCCGCAGCAGCGCTCCCAGGTCCCGGTGCCTGCTGCTGTACCCCACCCCACCCAATCAGCGCGCACCACTTCCCCCTCTGCTCTGGCTCGCGTATTGAGACCTCCTGACATATTTGAGGCCATTCTTGTCTTTTGTTGCTATTTTGCTCGCGACCCGCGGGTAATCCCCAGTAGGGAAGGGGGGGCGCATTGTCGTGCTGATGGACGGGCCCATTTGGCGGCCCCGCGCCCCCCGGAGGAGAGACACAAAGCCCAGGCACGTGCGCCTCCCATAGAGGAGCAGCCGACCGTGAAGAGAGGCGGGGCCGGGCGTGTGCCGGGGCCGGGCGGGGCGCGGCGCCAGGCGGAGTAGCGAGGGGCGCTCGCGGGGGCCCCGCGCCCTCAGGTACATCTGCTGCACCTACCGGGCGACCCCCGAGTCCTGGCTCCCTTTCTGCAGCCCCGTCGCCCTCCCACCCTACCAGGCGGAGGAGCTGCGGACACGCTGATTGGCTCCGGTGGAAGCGGGAGGCGAGAACAATGGCCCCCTCCCCCCGTTAAAAGGAAGCGGCTCCCAGACCTGGGGACAGGGACGCGCGTGCGGGGCGCAGAGCTGGGCCGAGCCGCCGGTGCCACGCGAGTCCGCCGCCGCTGCGCCAGGCCATGGGCCGAGGGTACTGAGGGCGGCCGGGGCAGAGCGTGGAGGTGGGAGTGAGCCAGCGCCTTGGCCGCGCGCCGCGCCAAGATGCCCCGCGGCTTCCTGGTGAAGCGCAGCAAGAAGTCCACCCCGGTGTCCTACCGGGTCCGCGGCGGCGAGGACGGCGACCACGCGCTGCT